TGTAAAGGTCCAAGATTTTTCTTGAAAAGATGGACTGGAATCGTAGAAAAACTGCTCCCTTTGTCATTGAATAAAAATTAATCTCTGTTTTTTTCTTTGAAATCCTCCCAAAAATGCACGAAATGCCGTTTTAGAAGGTTCATTTTTCAAAATTTTCCGGGGAAGCATGCCCCCGGACCCCCCTAGGAACCTCGCGCCTTCGGCGCTCGAGGTCCCCTCAATCAGTGGGAAGAACCCCCCCATTCAAAATCCTGGCTACGGGCATGTAGCATCCGTCATAGATTCAGTCTGACACCGTTGGCAACATTGCGACATTTTCATTCTGTGAGTTTGATGTTCAAATCATTTTAACTAAGCGTCAACTTCAACTCCTAGATGTCCACACGTCGGATTTCAAGATCTCCGGCACAGAACCGACCGTCCTTGTGCCAGGCCAGCCGGTCAACGTCAGCTTCGAGTTCACCATCACCAATAGCAACGGCACGGCCGACGTGCGACCCAACCCGAGCGGCCAGCCGAACTTCCTCCCCACCATCGTCCTGTCCGACTCCTCACAGTTGGAGAACGCCACCTTGCGGAGCAGGCGAGAAACGGACCAGGTGCCAGTCGAGGTCGCTCTGGACTCCAGTTCGCAGGGGAGGTTACAAGACGGTCTTCCAGCCGGGCAGTCTATCACGTTGCGAGGGAGCGCACTTTTCACCATTCCCAAATACAGGTAAACTGTTCCCACATCACATTGGATGTTTTCTAGTCCAACACAATTAGCAGTTCAACCAATGAGAGAATGGCTTTTATTGGTTCGACCAATGGGAGAGTGCCTATATGTTCAACGTCAAATATTTGCATTCTTTTGTTCTATTTTGTATGTCTACTTTTTGACGGCGGTGTGTGGGGCTTTGGGATATCGGTTTTTATTTTATCAGGTTCTAGAAATTTCTTAATAATGTACTGACACTGGAACCTGTGTGATTAAGCTGATATGTATATGTGATTGAGGCTAAAACGTTGGGCTGTGTTTTTGTCCTCCAGATGTGCAGATTACACACATTTCTGTGTGAACGTGGACCCCGCCTCAACGTCCACGTATCAAGACAAGGACGTCAACAACGGCGACTTGTGCACGTCTTTTGGCAACGCCACATCGACGAGCGACGTTAAAATCGACTGTACACTCTATGGTGAGAACACTACTAGTATTTGTGGTGTTGTGTTTGTTGTAATTGCCAGTATAACAGTAGTTTTAGACTGGTAATGTAATGTTTTGGGGTGATTTGTATGTTGGTTGGTTGGTTGGTTGGTTGGTTGGTTGGTTGGTTGGTTGGTTGGTTGGTTGGTTGGTTCGTTCGTTCGTCGGCTGGTTGGTTGGTTGGTTGGTTGGTTGGTTGGTTGGTTGGTTGGTTGGTTGGTCGGTCGGTCGGTCGGTCGGTCGGTCGGTCGGTTGAATGGTTGGTTGGTTGGTTGGTTGGTTGGTTGGTTGGTTGGTTGGTTGGTTGGTTGGTTGGTTGGTTGGCTGGCTGGCTGGCTGGCTGGCTGGCTGGCTGGCTGGCTGGCTGGTTGGTTGGTTGGTTGGTTGGTTAGTCGGTGAGTAGCCATACGCTTTTTCGTGTTGGATTTGGTCGGTTCCCTGTTAATTCATGCCCCCACTTTACCTTCCTCAGATCTAAAACCAGAAAACTGGATCGTCAACTCGAGAGAATCCGACATCCTCAGTGTCGATTCAGGCACCGACCTTCCCATGAGCTTCGACGTGACAAACCTGCCGGGCGGCGGAAACCTTCCCGCCAACACCAGGGACAACTACGTCCCCGTGCTGTACTTCAGCGACAATGCACAACTCGAGGACGCCACCAAGCTGTCCCCGCCGGTACCGCTTCAACTGTTTGCAGCAAATCGGACAAACCTGAAGAACGCTCTACCGATCGATGACAAGCACGAGTTCTTACAAGCATCGGGCAACGTGACTCTGCCGAGGGAAGACTGCTCCTCCTACACGCACCTGTGTCTGTTCGTCGCCGAGAGGAACTACCCGGAGAAGGACGTCAACAACAACGACATCTGCAGGCCGCTGGGGTCGCATGATGGCGCTGTTGTACGGGCTGCATGTCCTGCAAGAGGTGTGTACATCTCCGGCTTTCAACTTTGCAAATTTGCAAATATTGGAACTCGCTGTCACCTAGTACAGTAGGGGCATTGTCATTAGATAGCTTTAAACAATGTCTAGAGTTAGATGTTCAAAGGTTAGGCGTAACAAGTCGTTCGGTGTAATGTAGCCAGCTGCCGCCGCGCCGCGTGCCTGCGAAGCTGGTGTGTTACGCCGAAGGGCGGTTATACCGGCTATACAGACACAAATAACGAATATGAAATTTAGAAAAATGAAGGGTTGGCAATATCTTATTCGTAACGTTTGTTTGAACCTTTGTTTATTCACGTTAGTAAGTCTTACTGTAATAGATTCGATTGTAGTCAATACACCCAAGTATTTTTGTTTCGAAATGAATGCAACTTTGATATATTTCATCTTGTGGTTCTTTGACTTGTGTTTTGTTTGTTTGTTTGTGTGTTTGTTTGTTTGTTTATCGTTGTTTACTTCCGGACAGTGACTCCATGGTGGGTGTGGCTTGTGGTGGTGCTGTGTGTGCTGTTCCTGCTGCTGTTGCTGCTGTGCCTGTGCTGTTGGCTGTGTGGCGCCGGGAGGAAGAAGAAGAAGGACCAAGACATCGTAAGTACCTCAGTCTATACTAGGGCCGCTTCATGCGCTGCAATGCCGATACAAACTGCAAGGCGTCGCAGTGGACATCGGCATCAATTAGCAAATGTTCGTCTACACTTCCAAACTGAATGTTCGAACGAAATGTCTTGATATGCGTAACACATGACATACATGTCTGTCGCCTTGTATACAAGAACTCTTCTCAGTAAGTAAAAGGACCGACTTAAAAGTACGTCGTACTGACATGTATCAAGCTCTGCATTGTAATCATAAGACACTAGTTAAAGAAACTGCCTATATGTTAGGAATTCAAGGTTATCGTTTTTTTTTACTCACTTCGTTAAAATCTTTCTATACTTCCTCTGCAGAGTTTGTATTCGCTGACGTACATCGACAACACAGCCGGGTTTGTGCCGTACACTTACAACCCAGTCACCAGCAGACCAGGCCGGCTACCCGTCAATGTAAGTCTCCGTTTCGCGATGTGCACAAAATAAACATCTGAGATCATGATCATGACTTGAGCATGATACAGACTTCAACTTTGTATCTATAGAATTTTAATCTTCAGTTTCAGTGTCCATTTTATTGCATGTCATGTACGAAGTTATTAAGACCTCTATCTAAGATAAAAACATTTCAATATTATAGTACTTCTCAGACACAAGTCTCTATGAATATGGTGGAAGATGACATTAAGTTAAACTTAGAGTCAGCATCAAGACTAGGGTAGTCACATACATGTATCATGGAGTTCTCTATTGTTTGTTGGTCTTTTTCATGCATATGCTACTTGTACATTAGCCTTTGGGCTACAATAAACTTTTGACATGCATTGTAATCATTTGTCATTATTCTATTTTCTGCAGCAACCCGTGGTGATGAAGTTCCAGCAGTACAACCTGCCCCGGGGCTGGGACCACGCGCACGAGTCCGTCAACCGGATGAACAACGTCCCGCTGGCCGCCGAGGGCCCGCCCAAGGTACGCTAGACCTTACTGTGGTATCCAGAAGGGTGCCTTATATCCAGAACTTCGCTCAGGCATGGCCCTGGGTAGTCCATGCGTACCCAGAACCGTGCCTTATCCAGAACCAAGCTCAGGCACGGCCCTGGGTAGTCCATGCGTACTCAGAACCGTGCCTTATCCAAAACCATGCTCAAGCCTTAAGCACGGCCCAGAACCGTGTCTTACGTAATTACCCAGATCCATGCTCGGGCACGACCCTGTGTACTCCATGCGTACCCAGAACCGTGCCTGGGGCAAATCTACGTTTTTGGACAGTACCGTGCGGCCTGATCCTAACCCCGACCCATTCAGGCATAGAACTACCGGTAGATGAGCACGGTTCTGGATACGATATTTATCTTTTACCAAGTAGCATTTGTAACGGTATTTGTGGGTTTAGCACCATACCTCAAGAAGCCATGGACGGATAACAAAGAGATTTGGTATGTGGGTAGGCCTTACCCTATCAACGAAATGGTTAGATTTTGGACCCCATTGCCATGGAGGCTTTCCATGCAATCGGTACTACAACAGAACTTCTGTTTTTTATATCCCGTATCATGGGAATTGCGTTTCCAATGTATTACTACAGTACTGTACTACAGAATTGCTTCAACCGTGAACTGGAAACACCATGAAAAGTCCCTCTCCCCTTCCTCCGTGAAAGTATACCCCCTTAATTTACTTGATACACTTCGTTGGATTATTCCTAAGGTTGGCAAGAGCGGCGTCGAAACCATGATCAGCAAGGTGGCCGGAAAGAGGAAATCCGTCAATCTCGTCAAATATGGCGTCCTGCCGCAGAATCTCAACAACCAACGGGACAGAAACAACCAACAACAGAGAAACAACCCAGCAGGAAGGAACAATCCACCAGGGAGAAACAACCAACCAGAGAGGAACAACCCAGCAGGGAGGGGTGGAACAACAGTGTCGGTAGACTTCAGATGAGGACACGAGAGATGGCCAGGTACAGGTATGTCTTGGTCCTGCCATCATTACGTTTCTAGAGATATAACATTGTGTTTAGATCAACCCAGAGAGCAGAGGTGATGGGTATTTTGCTACATCATAGACATATTATAGAATGATACTCTTGTATATGTCATCACTAGTACCGTAAGAAGGGCATCCCTATAAGATGGTTTGGAGGAACACCTTTTTTTTATGTAATACAGCCAGTTTCCGCTAGGCACCTACTGAGCTTGTGTGTTAAGCTTAACTGTAGATATACAGATTAGCCAACTAAGGGGACGGTCACATACGTCGTGTCGTACGATTGTCGTATGTTTGTCGTACGGTCACCGTATGATCGTCCTACGATCACAAACTAAGGACATTTTTAGTCAGTCGTGCATTGAAGTCGTGAATTAAAATTCAGCTCTATTTTTGCGGAAATGGCTGTCCTAGATGTCTTTTTAAAATGGTTGTCAACTGTTGATATGTGTCACAGTCTTGAAAGACCTTCGAATTCCTATAAAGAAATGTCTAGTTCCACGGACGGACGGACTGGGGTCGGGACGGGTGAGAAGTTAGCCAACCATCCGGCGGGTATGTTCGACCCGGGTGGTGGTTGACTTCTTTCTCGTCACGTCTCAATAACCACCGAACCACGAAAGGTGTTGTGCCATAAACATTGTTCACTTTAAGGTCTCAAGTCTGAGAGGTCAAAAGTGCACGAATTTGTTGTGATAAGTTATGATATATGTCATACAGTGTGGACACACACACACACACACACACACACACACACACACACACACACACACACACACACGCGCGCGCGCGCGCGCGCGCGCACACACACACACACACCTGATTCAGCGCATCAAATGAACTATATAATGTATCTGAAATTGTTTTTTGTTTTTTCTTTGCAGAAGTGGGGACGAAGAATGAACCATTTTGCAGACGTCCACTTCTGCGTTTGGCAAGACTTTTGTATGTCTCGTATATATTTCTATATCCCATGTATCGTATGGAAACGTTGCAAATTGAACATTACATAACGTAACAACTTTGTTATATTTGCAGATGTTCACTTCGGATAAATATGACTCTAATTATTATCTCAACCATCTCAACAATTATTAGCATTTGCTGCAAATTCCGAAAAACTATACAGTACATATTATCCAGTTGTATCATGTAATCTCAATTTTGTATTCAACATTTTTCTCAAAGAATTAAATGTGTACTTTTTTCAAAGATCATCGCCTTTCTTTGTGTCTTATTTCTCTCAATAGTTTGTGTATTGTAACTTAGTTTTAAATATGTTTATCTGTTCATACAATATACTATTAAAACACAACAGTCAGACATTCTCTGGTTATGCTACATTGCCTATACATGCACAAACCGTCTATCTTCATTCCTGGACGCATTGAAGAAAACATTGAAGTCTGCTACGTGAGAAGTAAGACTACCATCCCGAGTGTTCTATATGCCGGGGTGGGGTCTTGCTTCTTCCATAGCGCGCTTACAAAACAACGATGGACGGCGAAGCCATGGACCAGGACAGCTCAAACTTTTTAAAATCCAAATCATCATTTCATTGAACAAATACAACACATGTTATACTCACTGCAATGCATGTAGCGACAGAAACAATGTGCAATTGAAGTCTACTTGTATATGATAGAAAGATTCTCTTCAATTGTATACAAGATTATTTCCCTAGTTTTAGATTTCAGATAGAAAAGAAAAATTCACATTCCTCATGAAACTCGATAATCCTCGTACTATAAGCTCCATCTGTTCTTACATTTACAACTGTCTTAAGAAGAGAGAAGAAGCAGAACCTGTACATATGTAGTTTTACTATAGATATATTTAGTCTATCATCGCTATTTACCATGACCTGTACTTAGTTCACAATAAGCAAAAATGTACAATAAAGGTCTTCCATTTATTATAATACTAGTAAGTGAAATATTGATGATTGTTGGTGCACACCACTTCATTTTCTTTTTCTTTTACTCTTGCGCCATAGATTCTGTTGATCTGATTAATGATAAGGGACCGACCGAGATGTTTTATAACTTTCACACATATACAAATGAAAAGAAAACTACTCTCTTCTTAATAATTAACATCCAAAACCCCACAAATTACAGAAAAAGTGGGATCCTTTGTCTTCCTCTGTCTCCAAAAAAGAAGTCAAACCCAGTAGTTTTACTAGTAGTTATCAGTAGTTATATGTGTACTATTTGTCTGTTTTTTATACCAAATGTTTCAAAATAAAGATGATGTTGATCACAATGTGTATGCAAACTTCTCCAAGTCCATGACATTTTTAAATGATCTTATGTACACTACAGCACAGTTGTAGACGCTCATGTAGGCCACACAATTCACACCTTGTGTAGCAACTGGGCGATCTTGGGAATTACATACAGAAAGCCAGTTTTCTTCATATAAACAGTCAATACAGATCGATGAGGCGGAGTATCTTTAGTGTGGGCATCAAGCATAAGATTTTATACAAAACGGCAATAATGGACTTGAAATATCAGTCGGTACCCATCATATCCACAATGTCCTTGATATATCTTTTAAAAAATTAAAAAGCTACAAAAGAGACCAAAGTGTAGGAAGAATTTGCTGCTTTACCATAAATAGTAAAGAAAGAAATTAACAAGAATTCGGAGAATTCATACCTCCATGAAATATATGAGTTTTTGTAAATGTACACTGCGCTTACACCAGGAATGGACGAAAGTAATCGAATAAAACAAACGCGCAATTCATGGAGAAAGGAAGAAGAAGAAGGAAGAAATCCTACCTTTAGGCTTGCTGGTGCTTCAGGACCTGAAAGAAACTATTCAAGTTAAATGTGTGCCTTTATTTGCTGTTAAAAATTGTTTTGTTGTTAGTTTTTGTGGAGAGAAATCATGTTGTGTGACCGTTTCCTACCACGGTCAGCCTTCGAATGGTACTGAATTCGAACATAAACAACTTTGCTGCTTAGCAACCACTTGTTGCCGCACATTCGATCTTGTAAACAACCTTGTTGCTTGGCAATTGTTTGTTGTCACGCATTCAAATTTAACGGTCTTCTAGCGCAGTATAGGAGAAAATCAGACACGACCGATGAAAACAAACGCGCAAAACATGAGAAAAAGACAGAAAATCCTACCTCTTGACAGGTGCCCAGGTCCAGAAAAATGATATAAAAATGATATATCTTAAATGTTTACCTTTATCTTGTTGTGTGGCCGCCTCCTAGCACGGTCCGGTTATTCCTTGGATTATGCCGAATTTGAACCTGTAACCTTGCTACTTACTAACCCTTGTTGTCGCGCATTCAAATTTTACGGTCTTCTAACGCAGTAACATCACACACCAATAACGAAACCAACCGATGAAAATAAGCGCGCAAAACACACACGAGAAAAGTAAAGGAAATGCTAGATATTTGGGCCTAAAGCTGTCTAAGGACATGAGATAAATGATTTATGTTAAATGTGTGGCTTTATTTACTATTGATAATCTAACGGTCTTCTAGACTATCTCAGTACACACAGAGAACAAAACCGATCTCGAGCGATGAAAACAAGGCGTAAAACACGAGTAAAGGAAAGAAAATCCTACCTCTTTTTAGGCCTACAGGTTCCCAAGGTCTTGAAACAACTGATTTATGTTAAAGGTGTGCCTTTATTTGCTGTTGAAATGTGTTTTTTGTTTTGTTGATCCTTTTCTTGGGATAGATGTTGTTTGTGGCCGCCTCCTAGCACGGTCAGTTTTCGAATGATACTCGTACCGAATTCGAACATAAACAACCCCTGTTGCTTAGCAACTGTATGTAACCTCAGATGACCCCAGGCGTGCCATTTGCTCTAGAACGTCTCACGCGAATCAAGAAGCTGACATAGCGCATTTCTATGTCTGTAAAATCGTGCTGCTTAGGATAAGAGAAAAATAGTGACTTTTGATGTTACATCAGTGAGTTTGTGATTGTAGGCCTGAGAAGTAAAGTTATTTTTCTACCAAAAAAAGGCAAAGAGAATAAATTTATAATACCAGATGTCAACTTTCTGTATCAGAAAACGGGGAAAATGTACACATGTACCTAATTTTAAGATCTATTTATGTAATGTCAACTTTCATAATTTTGCCCAGTACCATAATTTTAGCCACATGAAAAAGACAGTGACTTCTCTTTAGAATGACTGTTTTTTAATGTTCAAGGCCAGATTACGAGAGTTAAAATTACGTAATAGTGTTGTTTAAATAGAGAATATGAACCATCATAAGGCCATTGTCATGTATGCAACGTAATTTCAAAAGTATGCTGCTGTTCCACATTATAATTTACTGTATGATATGTAACATACGTATGTAATATTTAATGGTAGACTCTTGGTTGAGAGAAGCTTCAGGGTAAAACTTCAGCCATCTGTTGAATTTTGAAATGTTTTGTTTTGTTTATAACAGTATACAATTTAAGTTTTGAATTATGAAAACATTGATTGAATTGTTATGTTGAGAGCCGTGTTTTTGTATAGCAGTGTATAATGTAAGTTTTGAATAGTAAAAAAATGTAAATTGGAAAATGAACTCCCACACCGATGCAGTTTTAGATTAAGTGAAATTTATTACTAAAATACATAATTCATTTATTCATTTTCTCACTTTTATAATTTACTGTATGATATGTAACATTACATTTTATGTTAGATTTAACTTCTCTGTAATTTGTTCAGAATTGACATGTTTTATTAGAGCCGTGTTTAGTTTGAATCAGGCACTCAATGAACTGTCATGCTGTACCTTCTCTTACCAAATGTTATGTATGCTATTTGTCACATACATGTAACTTTTGTCGTACAGAATTAAATGGACTAAAACAAAAGAATAAGAACGTTGTGAGGTATTAAACAGTATGATTACAGTGCCGTTTCAGTATATATCACTCTCAGTACTATAATGAAACAACATATGCTGGTCAATCCTCCCAGTTTTCCATAAAGATTTATATTAATGTTTACTGTTTAGGACCCCCCCCCCCCCCCCCATTTTTGTGCGCTCGAAGTGATGCCATTGTGTACTGTATTATTGTGCTCTTATATTATTGTGTTTGTAAACCAATGATATATCCCTGTTTTCCACACCCCTTGGGCCACACGGTTGTGCCAGTGCTACAACAGTGGGCTAGTCCACTGGTAGTTGTGATGTGTGTGTTCAACTGCCATAATTTTCCGCTAAAGTCAAAGCTTAAGCGACGGTCACAACTCGCCGTGCGTGCTTTTTGTCCGTACGTTTTTGTCGTGGCTACGTCTGCTACGTTTTTTCTGCAAACGTAGGGTGGCCGGCCGAGGGAGTACGTCACTCGCACGGTTGCGCAAGGTGTACGTTGCGCAAGTGGTAAGTGAGTTGTACGTGCTTACAACGCACGATCTCTGTGCGATTGCTACGTTGCCGCGTACAGGCCGTACGTGCGGCGTACGCACGGTTTCCTTACTCACTCGCACGTTGTAAGTGCGTGCACCTCCTGTTAATTTCATCATCACTAGCCGCCCTGGTGTCTTCCGCGGCCCGTTTCTTTGGGTCTTGTCTGGTAGTCTTCTTCTGAGCCTTCCTGGGCATCTTGGAGACGAGTTCAAGATTCAAGATTCAAGATTCAAGATGGATTTATTGGTTCTTCGCAGTTAAAAACAACTGAATTGTAGACCAATTTACAAAACATTGGTATATTAAAAACTACAGGTTTGCAATCAATATCAATATAAGCGTACGATTACCAAACCAATAAAAATACATGTTCCATACATTATTCATTATTATAAATTTCCCGGACAACATTTGATACGGAACCAGTGTACTACATATTAGAAAAACAACAGTCAGGGGTTCAGTCCATGGTTATTAAGGAGCTGGACCATAAACGGTATGGGCGAGTTCTTGTATCTATTCGTTCTTGCTCTCGGACAGTCTAGCATCTCGCTGTTTCTAGTGCTACGGCCAGTTATTTGTGATCTCTGTGGAGGTAGCCAGTCTCTGTACTCTGACCTCACAAGTGTCCTAGCGAACTTCACACACAACAGTTCTCTTCTCTCGGCAAGTGATGACAGTCCGAGGTGTTGTAGTGCGTTGTCATATCCTGTGTAGGTGGTTCCCAGGATGATGCGGCAAGCCCGCCTTTGAACACGCTCAAGGCTGCGTTCCTGGGCTTTGGTGAGGGCAGGGGTCCAGGCAGGGGCTGCATACTCCAGGATAGGTCTAACATATCCTGTGTAAATGGTTGTGAGGTCACTGTGGGAGACGTTGAACCTTTTGAGACGTTTTAGGAAGTAGAGCTTTCTAGACGCTTTCCCCACCATGTGATTGACCTGTTTATCCCAATGAAGGTTGTTCTGGAGGATCACGCCAAGTACTTTCAGACAAGGTACAACAGGGAGAGTCACGTCATCGATTTGTAGCGGTGGCAGCAGTGGTGGATTCCGGGAAAAGGTCACATGCATGACGAGGCATTTACTACTGTTCAACAACATGTGATTTCTCTTGGACCAGGTGTTTAAGTCATCAAGGTCATTTTGTAGGCTGGACGGCTGATTGAGTCTTCTAGTCTCCAACAAGTTCATGTCATCGACGTATTTCCACACGGGGCTGTTGGCGTCATAACAAGCATCGTCGATTAACACTAGGAACAGTACAGGTCCGAGCAGTGTCCCTTGTGCCACTCCACACGACAAGTATTCCCATCCGGATAGAGCCCCACGGTAGCGAACGACTTGTCGCCTTCTGGTGATAAAGTCGCATATCCACGGTAGTAGTTCAGGTCTCAGTCCTTTGTGTATCAGCTTTGTTATCACTGTGCTGTGGTGCACTCTATCAAAGGCTTTGGAAAAATCCGTAGCCAAGATAGAACAGGAAGTGGAGGGTTTATCCGTTGCCTTGCAGAGACTGTCGATCAGGCTGACAATGGCATGTACAGTTGAGCGCCCTTTCAAGCTTCCAAACTGTCGTTTGTCGAATTCAATGTCATTTAAGATCCATTTCAATGCAAAGTATTCAGCGATCTTGGAAAACTGTGAGGTAAGGGAAATTGGTCTTAATTGGTCGAGTGTCGGTGGTTGGGATTTAGGGATGGGCACGACAACTGCCTCTTTCCACTGGGCAGGCACAATACCCTCTGCAAAGGAGGCGTTAAGGATATGGCAGAAGGGGAGCGCTAAGTTCGCAGGCGAACTCGCGTAGTAACTTTGGAGGAAAGTTGTCAGGGCCGGGTGCTTTACTTGTCTTGACCGCCAGGAGTCGCTTGTATACATCCCAAACCTGGAGGGTAGGTAACTCCTGGGGGCAGGTAGAAAAGTAGGTAGCGAGGTGAGGTCAAGTGCAGGAAGGGCTTGGGATATCCCAGCAAACTTTGAGTTGATGGCATCAGCTATGGTAGCGTCATTGTCTGAGTCTAGGCCAGGAATCTTGATCTCACTGTTACCTTTACCGGAGTTGGCCATCCTCATAACCTCCTTGTGCCATTGTCGAGGATTATCGGTTTTGAGGGTTGCGACTCGGTCAGTGTAGTAGTTTTTCTTGGCACGGGCTATGGCTCTGTGCGTCGCGTTTCTGTAGAATTTCCAAACTGGACAAGTCTGTTTGTTGAACGCCTTCTGTCTCAGAGTGATCAAGCGTTTGATCTGGGGTGTTACCCACGGTTTGTCAGAGCTGTGCGTCTTAATGACTTGGCAGTCGCCCGTCAAGTTGTCTTTATATACTGTAGAGATCAGGTGCGTTGCACATGCGTTGCACGTGCGTTGCACGTGCGGAGCACCTGGTATGGTGCACGTGTGTTCTGCGTGGTCATTGAGCAGGTCAACTGGGAAGTGAGGAGTAAGCACGGATGACGCAAGCACCGTGCGTGGCACGCACGTGCTTCGTGCGCTGTCCGTACAGCAATTGCACGTGAGAATAGTGAAGTTAGATTCACGGAGTACGTACGTTGCACGCTCATAGGCTGTACGGGGCACGTGCGTCGCACGTACTCGCACGCACGGGTGGTAAATCCACAGACCGCACGTAGAAAAAGTATTACATGCACTTAAAGTTCTACGGCGTGTCTGCGTGCTCCCAAATCCGTAGGATTCCGTACGGAGGTGGTACTCACCACGCACGGATGCCGTACGATTGCCCACGTTTTTGCACGTAGACAGCACGCAGAAGCACGTACGGCGGGTTGTGACCGTCGCTTTAAGAAGAAGTAACAACTATTACAGGCTCTCGTTCTTCCCTCGCACCATCAAGGAGTGGAATGAACTTGAACCCAGTGGGGCGGAGGCGAAGTCCATATCCCAGTTCAAAGCAGAGCTGGGACGGGCTTCGCTGCATTGAGCTGCCTCCCTGTCCTTGTACATATGTAAATATGTGTAACACTAGCACCATTGATTTCACTTGTCCTGTCCTTGCACTAGTCTACGTCCATCCCTACCCTACCCTTTGCACACAGTCACCAATCTGCGCAGCTGCTAATAATCTCTTCTTAGAGGGATGAGCAGTATCGAAGATGATGATGAAGTAAACTGAAGAAGCACAACTCTAAAAGCAAACAACAATCTAGGTAACGATTTTGCTAACGGTCAAATGATGGCACTTTACTCAGCGTCAACAAGTAGCTGGTATTTTGGATGCACTTTCTTCGAGCGCCTCACTTTGAGAGCCAGAAGAACTGCAGCAAAAATGACGACCCCGGCAGTTCCTCCCAGAACGAGGGCCATGTTGTCTGCACTATCAGCTGTAAATGGAAGAAAGTTATGATCAACATCCTATTATGACATAAAAAAGAACTAGAGAAGTAACATTTGCAAAGCAAATGCATTAAGTTTACCTTTGGACATGGTCTGCTCTGTTAATTTTTACTCAAACACATTCACATACATGTACTACTACATGACCATACAACAGACCATGAAATTGCAACATTATGTAACCCAACACCAGTCACCATGGTGACAGACATCAACAAATCATGTCATTGGTCAGGTCAGAGGTTAGTGTTTGGAACAGAAGAGGAAGAAACTGAGTAAAAACAATATGTTTTCCTTCGGTAAACATAATCAAAAGAAAGCTTGACGACATGCTAGATGTACTTCGCAGTTTCCCTTCAATGTCATTTGGCGTTCAGCACCAAGGACAGGGCTGACTTGACAAGGACAAGTATGCTACATATTCAGTTCGTTGTTCCTGTGCGTTATACATCTTTTTAGTGCATCGAATGTCAATCAAACAACGGGTACTACATTTCACTTGCAGCCTATTCTTGTTTGTGGGTTCCCTTTTGTACTGATTAAGAGGAGAAATGTTTTATTTGTGAAACGAATCATTTGATGGTGCAACGTCTGTAAGCATTTACAGGATACAGTTTGTACTTTGACCTAGTGTTGACATCACACTTCAAAGAATCCACGTGACAAGCCTTAGGCCACACCGCCTTAATTTTATGGATGACATCCTCTGAAAACCCCCAAACTAGTGCGTGTGGGCGAATAAAAAAAATCCGGCCAAAAATAAAAATGCTACTAAACCACAGGTATACAAAGCTGGTATTGTGAATTTGCGGCAGTACATATAGACGTATACGACAAGCCGGCACATGCTGTTTTTTTGCGGAATTTATGAATCGGCACTGTACGTATGTACTGAGTTCTTGAGTCGTGGAGCTTCGGTAGCCTGGGTGCCATCCTCCATAGTTACAACCGGCTCCGAATTGTCGCTAACTACCATGGACATTTTTTTTTGAGAACAGGCGAAAATCAATGCGCGCGCGGATGTCATTCATAAAATTAAGTCGGTGTGGCCTTACTGGGACAGTCTACTGAGATGAGGAAGACCAGAGTGACTGGTCGAAACCTCAAGGTGAGAGAACTTCTTTGTGTTGGATCTAATGTTTTAACTTTTTAATGATGCAACTACCAACACAGATGAACTTTCATGACAGGATACTTGGGTGCTATAAATAATGTACCATGTCCATATTTTTTTTTATTCATTCACATAGAAAAAGGTACAGGACATGGTGGTACCGCACTCAAGTGGAAAGCACTTATGTTGACGGCACCACTGAAATAAATACATATAATAAAGAAAAAAACAAACGCAACTTTAAGACAGGCAAAAACAGTATATACAGGAAATTCAAGAGCGCAGGTCCGGTTCCCCACCCAATGATAAATGATAGCAAAGAGGACACAGTACATGGATAACAAAGGGGGAAATTGAAATCTTTTAAAAACGTTCTGATGTGGTGATGAAGTTTTGGGTAAGTAATAATATATTGGAGTTAACAACTGATGAGAATGCGGTACTGCCACGGAGTAAAAGGTCAGTTTTTGCGTTGTCAGAAAGAGTTGTAAAATCTAGGGTGTGTCCTATGAGCCTGGATAGTTTGCCAAGGAGAGTAGAGCGTTGGGAGTTGTACATGGGGCAGTGGAGTAGGTAATGTGGGACGGTTTCACATTGGCATCCGCAGGTACAAGCTGGGCTGTTCAATAATCCACGAGTAAAGAGACTGTAGTTCAGGCTGCACGTGCCAATGCCAATGTCCATATTTACCCTCATTGTAGCCTGTGCTGATGACGATGGGCCCGCGAGAGATCACATAGCGGCTCTTTGTGTCACTCTCGAGCGCCCTCTTGTGATGACGACTAGTACTGCATCCCTGTGAAAGTGTAAGTAAAGGGTTCACTTCTTAAAACATTTGGTACTTGCAAAAACATTGAACTAGACACAAACTCCAGACAGTTGGGGCATCATCACTGGAAAGCTTTTTTTAAGTTTCCAAAAGAACTGCAACTAAACGTGCGAAGTTTGAGTCTAACAAGTCGTTCGGTGTAATATAGCTAGCTGCCGCTGCACCGCGTGCCTGCAAAGCTGTTGTTTTACGCCGGAGAGTAGTTATACATACATCGATATCAATATTATAGATACAGGAATCTTAGTTGTCACGGGACACATTTTGCGCTATACTACTGGTTCCATCGCTGGCAATTTCCTATAGTCAAGATTATATGTCTAAACCGTGTGAAGCATTAATAAAGATTATTATTATTATTATTATCATCATCATCATCAACATCATCATCATCATCATCATTATTATTAATAATAATAATAATACCTGTGCACAGCGGGATCCTGTGTCAGCTGCATCGCACACCTCCACCTCACACCGGATATACACTGTCGTCACTTCCTGTACGAAGCGGAAGGCCTCCAGACCAAACCGCTGAGTGCCCGGATCGGGACTCCCGTAGAACTGTAGGGTGTCGTCCGATGCACAGCTGAAAATATGTGCATGTATTCCACGATAGGATAAAGCTTTTTTCATGCTAAAAGAATAATCTTATGGTTTCAGAAACCTTATACGTGTACTTTGTCATTATCTTTTATCTTGTGATAAAAGGATGGTGGAAACACATGCATGTAAACACAACTATGGATTGACTTTTAGATTGACTGTCCATTTTTCTTATCAAAGATTAAAGTGTGAGAGTTTTCGTTTAACAACATCCACGCCCTCTCTCTCTCTCTGTCTGCCTCTCTCTCTCTCTCTCTCTATCATGTAATGCCTTTCCCATGTGCACTAATCCTGCCCTCATGGTCCATTCAAGATGATATCAAGAATAGTTTTTTCAACCCTTTTCACAGGGTTATGAACATGGCCAAAAAGCTTAAAATGGACATGTGGCTTTGCCTAATATTTGGCGTGTTTTAGGCCTTTTTTATCAGGCTTTCTTTTTTGCATTGGTAGGGTATATTTTTTTTATGTCAACCACACTACTCACCCGTCCTGTATGAGTGGGTAGTGTAGGGAGGAGTTATGCCCAGATGTAGCCTCACAGTGCAAGGCGATGACTGACAGCTGTAGCGCGTGGCCCTGCACCTGCAGCTGCAGGTACATCATGTCCCGCAGGTGCTTGTGTACCGGGTACTCAGGTGCTGTGTACGGGGCCAGGTAGCTCTGTGTGGGGAACAGGTCCAGCCGGATGGACAGCTGACCGAACCCTTCATCCACAAACTCCAGTCCGCCCGGGATGGGCAGGAACTCCGACATCACGGCTTCTTCACGGTCGTACTTACAGCTGTGGACAAATAGCAGAGTGTCGGTGAAAGTTAGACATTCAGGTAATAAGATACGCCAAAAAACAGCAAGCAACTGGATATGAATCTACTAATCTTCTACATATATGTTAAAACTTAAGCGATATAAGGTTTGTACAACGTAAGATTGACATAGTTTGTACGAATGTAAGATTGTAAATACCTATTAAATTTTTCGAACCAAAGTGATATATTAATCTGTAGATTACGATATGATTGCAATTTGTATTTCCCTACTATTATGATTTATATTGTAAAGAAACATCAGAATTCAGCCCTGTATGTCAAGGCTGCGAGATATGTTATTGATATGTTGATACAAATAAACCAATGAATAAAAATGAAGTCGGAAATGGATCGTGGCTACAAACGACAGCAAACGGTATTTAGGCCACACCAATTTAATTTGTTGGTTCTCGGATTTTTTCAGATAACATATGAAGCGACAGGGCGAAAAAAAAAATAAAAACAGGTCTAGGCATCCTATTATAGCCCCAAATGCTACAATATGAGCCATGAAGTCAACAAAAAAGGCTGGGTTAAAATTTAAAGTATAAATTTTGAACTTTTAATCAAACCACTGCATTGATAGATGGAAAAAACTGTAACAACTAGGAAGAAAAGGAATTTCCTCAACTGTTGGGGGCAAAATATGAGCATTTTTTAGTTGATTCAGAACCGGATTTTTTTTTTTTTTGCAAATCAGAAAAAAATGAAGAGGCGAATCCGAGAACCAACAAATTAAATTGGTGTGGCCTTACCATGACAAAAAAACAGTTACTCAAGCAACTGTTACCAAGAATGCTGTTAGTATTAGGCCGTGTTTAAGTGAAGTCACCCAAACCGCGATTCGGTTAACCCACATTCCTCACATCTGGTCCACGTGCCACACATTCCTTTCAAACCGTGTCCGATCACGATTCTCCGAATCTACATTAATTGTTGTTTTATCTATTTATTGAAAATGCAACAAGACATTACACTGACTCTCAAGGCAGCAAAGCTGATATTAGAGAGTCAACATATAAGGACAAACCACAAAGGGCACATAATTTCAATACAATATGAAATACAAGAGCAATCATAACCTAAACTTAACCTATATCAATCTGATTAATTAAGTACATATATATACATAATAAAAATAACGCATTTGGAGGTCAGAGGTCCAGAAAAAATGTATATACAGTACTACCTCATAAGAGAAAATTGGTACATAAATAATTGTTGTTTGATGAAAACACGCAAGGTAGCGTGTTAGTAATGTCAGAGGTCAACGATCGAGGCACTTTCAATATGATTTGGAGCGTTCATATGGGACAAATGAAACCGGCTTTGGGGGAAACCACATGTAAAGCGCCTTCACTGACTTCATATGAACAGGGCCTTAGATAGAGGCATAAACTACTTACACTGCGCGTATGACTACATCATGGTCCCTGGTGATGATGCCATCATGGGTGAAAAGGAGGCTGACATTGTTGGAGAAGATGACATACTTTGTGTCAAAGGTCACCTATGCAGGGCAAAGAATACCAAGACGTTATCACAGGTAAAACTGTTGATAGCAAATATAACAACAAGACTGGCAATGAAAACATACATTGTCATGGCGACGGTGGTTGCTGTTAGGGTTATTGTTTGCATGGCACTGCCATGATTTCATGATTTTGAGGTAGCTTTAAGTCTAGACAGATACAGTGCACTCCTCCCCAGAGTGTATAGTGAACGAGCCCCGGGGTCACAGAAAGTAGGGCCATCTGGGGCAGACAGAGGGTTCCAGGAATGTGGGCATAGATGTGGGTCAGAGAAATGCCTGTGGACAAAATGCCTGTACCATTCCTAGAATTCTTGCAAACTGCACACAATACAGTACTATTAGGCTCCTCCCTGAGACGTCGCCAAAAACACTGCTATTGACACCATGTGTAGGGCTATTCAAGAGGACATCGATTTTACTGAATTTCGTAGCCTGGGCGCCAGACTGTTGCCAGGGCCAGTATATACAGGCTAGCTCCTTGGCTCCAGGGCCAATCTTTTCGATAGACTCCACTCAGACAGACCCTGGAAAGGACTGGCCAGACCCTGGTGCGAGAGATAAGTTAGACCCTGGGAGCCAACTCTGGGATTGGGGCTTGTGACTTCCCCAGTTAGCCTGGATACCATACCCATAGCACATTAGGTCCAATGCTATCCACTGGCCAGACCCCTACATGCTGGATAACTTTGGGCTAGTGTGCTACAGGTCTGGTATCCAGGCTACCCCCAATCGAAGAGAGTACTAGTATCATGTCGCGCAGGGGTCTGGCATCCAGGCTATTTATTTCGTTGACTTGATATAATCAATTAGAGAACCATTGTAATACTTTTTGGACCCAATAAAAAACGCACATGCAATTAGAGATCTTCCTTATGATAGTTAAAGAGCAGACCTTAGTGCCGCACTGATACAGCCCGGTGCGCAGGACGTAGTGGGTACCGTTGAAGGTGGCCTTACAGCTCGGGTCAGGGTCCCAATGCAGCCCGCTGGTGACCACGTGAGCCAGTCGGTGGGCCGGTAGGGCTAGCTCCATGTACTCATTGGTGCAAACAGGTGCGCTCTCAGACTCTAGTGCAAACAAGATTTTGCCAGCAATGTACTTATTATACTGTTGTGAATATATAAAAGCTATCCCAACACCATTTACCATTGTGACAGACGTCTGGTTCAGGTCATTGACCTTATTTGTTTGGAGAAGACGAGGAAGAAGAGGAAGAAGAAACAGAGCAAAAACATTATGTTTTCCTTCGGTAGACATAAACATCGTACCCGGACAAGGTTGTTTGTTACACTCCTGTTGTTCTGTGTCCGCCATGTCACCATCGTCGTCCCCTACACACGTGAAGCCGTAAGGCGGCGGCGGGCTGTCGCAGTACCGGGTTCTGTTTTGTATCCCTCCGCCGCAGGTTGTGGTGCAGTCGGTCCAGTTCCCCCAGTCTCCCCAGCCTCCAAACGCTGTGGTAGCAAGACGAAGCAAAACAAAGTCAATTGAATACGTGTAAATGTACAACTACACTTGTGCAAACATGGGTTCCATGTCAGGTTAGTTTTATCTTTCAAAACAGAGCAAGAAACAGTCATAACTACAGGAGTCAAAGTTATCGACCAAGGAGTGAGGCGCTAGTCCAAGCAAGAACTATCGTGCAATGGAATTCAAGTACAAGTACGTTAGGAGCATCCTCGCTAGACAGCTTTATAAAATAACGCCTATAGTTAGATATGTTAAAATGTTGGGTGACGGATAAATGTTTGAAAATGATTTTTTCCAGAACACTCACCTTCACAAGTTTCATTCCAGGTGGTGACGTCATCAATGGCTATGTCACTGAGAAATCCACCAATGTCTCCATGAAATATGACCTGGTAACAACATCAAATAATTGTAGATTACTGTGATATTTGTTAAACGGGGTTTGACGGGATTATTGTATTATCGTTGGCCTTAACGTTGGTATTCTCATTGATCAAACTGATAGGTATCTGATGTCATTCCATGCTATGTTCTGTTAGGCCATGTTGATTTGATTATATGGATGACCCTCCGGGAGCCCCAAAACTGATGCGCGCGTGCGAATAAAAAAAAAATGTTGCAAAAAAAAAAGTTCTTTTCATTATGAAATCTACGTGGTCATGAGGGTTGAGCAAATGGCACAGAATATGGTTTGGCGAATAATCTAGTCTTCAAGTTCATTTCTTTACAATTTCGTCTTTTTTCGTTTGATTTTGGCATTCTACGACATTGGTATAGTTTTTATTAATTTTGTTTGTGACTTATGGTATATTTTTGCTCATTTTGCAACTGTTTTGTACGATTTACAGTATGGTTGAAAACTTTTTTTTTGGAAACGGCCGAAAATTCATGCGCGCGCGGATGTCATCCATATAATCAAATCAACATGGCCTTATACTGTTCATACATGATTTTCTATCTACGCCTAGCCGTCTCATGACCAACCTGATAGCTGTCAGTGATGTTGTGGTTGATGACTGCCCTGTTCCAGGTGTCACCCCTGTCCCCGCTCAGTTCCCACTGCAGCTGCATGTCTGTACTTCCCGACAGCCGGGTGTACACCTGAAGGGTGCCTGGATCACAACAAGAACGTCAATGATTTACAGAACGACTTGCATACACTAAAAGCCTTGGTCACAACCCGCCCTACGTGCTTCTGCGCGCTATCTACGTGCGTGCAAAAACGTGGGCAAACGTAGGGCATTCGTGCGTGGTGAGTACCACCTCCGTACGGAATCCTACGGATTTGGGAGCACGCTGACACGCTGTAGAACTTTAAGTGTATGTAAAACTGTTTCTACGTGCGGTCTGCGGATTCACCACCCGTGCGTGCGAGTACGGGCGACGCGCGTGCTCCGTACGTACCGTACGTAAGAAGCACGTGTGAGTACGTCCTCCTTACGGTAAAGTTGCAACCGCACAGAGATCGTACGTTGTCAGCACGTACAACTCACTTACCACTTGCGCAACGTACGATGCACGCAACCGCTCACGGCCAGACGTGGCGTGCAGACCACACTCTTACACCTTGCGCAACCGTGCGAGTGACGTGCGGGTGACGTGCGTCGACGCCACTCCTTCCCCACGTTTTCAGAAAAACGTAGCAGACGTAGCCTCCCAAAAAACGTACGGACAAAAAGCACGCACGGCGGGTTGTGACCAAGGCTAAAGTCGCGTTTTCACTCATTGTATAACAGTAACCGTATTTCCTATTGTATATATTAGCATTGGCATCTACTCTAGCATGCGGCAATATGATATTGCGACGTTGTCCACCTATCTTCAATTTAGTACTAGTATCATGCATGAGAAATTGGGCTGGTCTCAATCATGATGTTTCTGACTCAGGGAGAAGAGTTGTTGTTACAGTTCTATACCTCTAGCTCTATGCCTAGAAGTGGCAAAAAATTGGCCTTGCATTGAGCGACACCGTTAAACAAAAAAAGGTCTTTCAAATGCAAATGCGTTCGTACGATCGTGTAGCAATACAACTAATGCAACCCAAATCGCCTTCATTTTATGCAAACCTATTGTTCGAGCAACTACGTTGATAGCAGGGATATTTACCCATCTGTTGTCCGAACATGTGGAAGTAAAACTCCAGACAAGGTCCGCTGGTCTCCGGGGAGATCAGTCTGGCCACATCACCTGTCTGCGCCGGGGTGGAGGACTCTATGTACATATAGTACCCTGTAAAGGGAAACGTGATGTTACCACTGATCTTAGGCCACAGCAAGTAATTTTTATGGATGACATCAGCGCGCGCATTAATTTTCGTCTGATTTTGGAAAAAAAAACAAGAAATTTTGTGGCCTTCTGACAGTGGTCAACATGCCGAAAATGGGCACGGATGTCTGTTGCCATGCCAGAAGGTGGATACCAGATAACTATGAAGATAGGAGACAAGACAAGGCTCTGATTTAATGTTTTGTTTCTTACTTTGATGCAGTGATGTATTTCATTCCTTTTGTATGTGATGCTGGCTGTGTATATGTGATGTTCCCAATGAACCAAAACCATGTGTACAATGATTGATTCGAAATTTTAAATTGTAGGAACCTCGTTTTTTTCGGCCCGCCTTGTTTTGTTTTCGCCCGCTGGCATTAGATTTGGAGTCTGCGGAGGATGTCATCCATAAAATTTACTTGCTGTGGCCTTACTAGAAATTAGAGATTTCAAACTGATGGAAAGTAGATATAGTTTGCGCCGATGAATCACTTACTCCGCTATTACAACGTGTTATGTTTTGTACATCCCTAGCGACTTTGAGCCCAGGGTCTAGGGCATACTGAGTTAAACCCCTGATGATCAAGTAAAACCCAATCTCACTAACTTCGGAACCCAAATATACAATATTCCACTAACCAACTTCACTCAAAGCAATACTTCTGTTCCGGCAGTTCGTAACGAACCTATTGAGTTTATTCTGCTCTTTAAAAGGCACTACTATTAGACATTTTGAAGACCATAACAAGTTGCATTTACCAGCATGATATTGGCCCAGTGTGTGGTCATGGAACGGTCCGGTTTGCGCACTTGGTACGTTGTTTTGTACGGCATATAGACGGTTGGGTGTGGCATGGTTGTGTTTGGTCCAGTCTAAGTCGTCGTTGGTGATGTCCTGCTGAAAGCCACACAAGTCACGATCGAAGTTACAGGCAAGGAGAGGAGCTGGCGGGATCTCACAAACTGCAGAAAAACAAACACGATGAACGTTTACTATCATGAAAGCTCATCTGTGTTGGTAGTTACATGTTTAAAGTTAAGAGTTTTGGTCCAACACAAAAAATTCTCTCACCTAGAGCTTTCGACCAGTCACTCTGGTCTTACCCGGACAAGGTTGTTTGTTACACTCCTGTTGTTCTGTGTCCGCCATGTCACCATCGTCGTCCCCTACACACGTGAAGCCGTAAGGCGGCGGCGGACTGTCGCAGTACCGGGTTCTGTTTTGTATCCCTCCGTCGCAGGTTGCTGTGCAGTCGGTCCAGTTCCCCCAGTCTCCCCAGCCTCCAAACGCTGTGGTAGGGAGACAACGCAAAACAAAGTCAATCGAATACGTGTAAATGTACAACTACACTTGTACAAACATGGGTTCCATGTCAGGTTAGTTTTATCTTCCAAAAAAGAGCAAGAAACTACAGGTGTCCAAGTTATCGACCAAGGAGTGAGGCGCTAGTCCAAGCAAGAACTATCGTGCAATGGAATTCAAGTACTAGTAAGTTAGGAGCATACCCACTAGACAGCTTTATAAAACAACGCCTATAATAGTTAGATATTAAAATGTTGGGTTACGGATAAATGTTTGAAAATACATTTTACCAGAACACTCACCTTCACAAGTTTCATTCCAGGTTGTGACGTCATCAATGGCTATGTCACTGAGAAATCCACCAATGTCTCCATGAAATATGACCTGGTAACAACATCAAATAATTGTAGATTACTATGATATTTGTTAAATGGGGTTTGACGGGATTATTGTATTATCGTTGGCCTTAACGTTGGTATTCTCATTGATCAAACTGATAGGTATCTGATGTCATTCCATGCTATGTTCTGTTAGGCCATGTTGATTTGATTATATGGATGACCCTCCGGGAGCCCCAAAACTGATGCGCGCGTGCGAATAAAAAAAAAGTTTTAGCAAAAAAAAAGTT